CCGACCAATCTCCCAAGCATCCCTGGCTACCTGGGCCCGCGCGCAGGGCCAGGCCTTCCCCCCCTGCCCAGGTGACCAGAGCATTCAGGTGCCAGGCTCTTGTCATGCAGACAAGGTGGGAGATCCCCGCCCTGAGGGATTCAACAGCAGCCTCTCAGGCTGGCTGAGACAGATCTCTGGAGAGGGGCACCGACGGTGGCATTCTGCCACAGGCTGCTCCCATGTTGTTCAGTTGCAAATACACCTGGTTCTTAGAGTCATCCCTGGTGAATCTGATTTGGTTCCTAAAGCCTGCATCCTACCACAGGTTTCTGTTGTTTCAGATAATCCCCAGCCACTCCAGCCCCTTCCCAGGAGGCTGCCAGACCCAGCTCCAAGTGTGATTCCCAAAGGGCAGCACCACAGACACAACACATGTGAGTGAGACAGACTGTGGGCTTCACCAGCTCCATTCCCTGCTGCTCCAGCTGCACTTCAGAGATGCCCCCTGCAAGAGGTGCACAGAGCAGGTGAGCCCCTGACATTGGTGGTCCATGAGACATCTCTTCCAATGCTGCCCACTGTGGGGCAGTGAGCTCCTGACCTGGGGCTCAGGCCAGTCCTAATGGGGCTCTCAGGGGTTATGGAGAGGGAGGAGCACTGACCTGAGTGCAGGGCCAGGAGGGAAAGGACTGAGAAGAGCAGGTGCAGGCAGTTGTGACAGGGGAGAGAGGAGGAGAAGGGAGGGGTCAAGTTTCTCAGCTGCTGGGATCCAGGAAATAGTGATGAGACTCGTTGGGGGGGCGGGGGGGGTGTCTCTATGTATGTGGTGCATCCAGCTGAGTTATCTCCCTGGGGCTGGGGCTGGGGCTGGAGAGTATAAGAGATACCAGGAGGATCTGGGTTGGTGCAGCTCATCCCATCCTCCTGCAGGGACAAATGGGGTTGTAGCAGTCTCAGGGGCTGGCTCCTTCTCTGCTGTTTCTCATCCTCTGTTCCCACAATGGTATGTTGTGGAGGGAAGAGCCCTTTCTGTGCCCACTCCATCCTCTCTGTCCATCCACCTCTCCCCTTAGTGCCAGAATGATCATTATTCTGCCTTGCTCTGCCCTTACCCTGTAGTTCCAGCTCAGGTCACTACTAGGTGCCAATGTGTTGCAGGGTGTCATGGCAGACTATGAGCCTAGTTCCCCAGAGAGCACTTAAATGGGTTCCCTGGAAGGGGCTGGAGTGCATGGGGTCTTGATATACAGACAGCAGCACCATGCATTGCACCCACTTTCTGCAGAGCTGAATCACTCCAGGCTCCTGGGGCGATGCCCACATAGGCCTTGCTGTGTTTCAACAGGGCACTGAGTTCAGTCCTTTCAGGACTGTGCAGAGGGGCTTTGCTGTGGGACTGGATGAACTCTACATAGGAGGAAAGGATCAGGCAGCAGCTTGTGCAAAACAGTGGGCTGGGGAAGCCAAAGCAGGGAGGGGCGTTGTACAGTGGGGTCAGGCCAGTGCATGATCCAGGCAATGGGCTGGCAGTTGCTTTGTCCTCTCTGTCCCAAGCCAGGCTCTGGGTTCTTCCATCTCCCACTCGCTCTCTTTTTCCTGTAGTGTTGGGCCATTGTGGAGGTTGTACAAAAATGACTCTTCATTTTCAGTGTATGTGTGTTTTTGTCTCGTTTGTGCCTGTGTATGCTGGCATGCACACATCACCACTTTGTGTATTCTTCATTTTCAGTGTGTGTGTGTTTTTGTCTGCGTTTGTGCCTGTGCATGCTGGCATGCACACATCACCACTTTGTGTATCGCATCCCTGTTGTGCACATGTGCATGTCAGGGGTGCCAGGCTGAAACTGGTCAGAGGGAAGGGGTGTCCCACTTCTCAGCTTGGGGGTGGGGCGGGCAGGGAGGGTGGGGGCTGAGACCAGGTAGAGGGTGCAGGGGTCTTGACCTTGCCCCAGACACAGAGACGCTCAAGCCTGAGTCTGGGTGTGAGTCTTCCCTGTGAAGCTGAGCTCCTAGGAAGTGCCAGCCTGGGCTTGCTCTTGTTCTTGTACTTTGTGCATGTCTCTTGCTTTCTCTGTCAGAGAAGAGAAATTGCCAGGGCTGCCTGTTAAGAATCCACTTCCCCATTTTGTGCAGCCCCTGCCCTGCTCTCTGTCACTGTGCCACTGCCGACACAGTAATACATGGTGGTGTCTGCAGCTGTCAGGGAGCTGAGCCGCAGGCAGTACTTGGTGCCGGAGGAGTCCACGGAGATGGCGATTCTGTTCTGCAAAGCTGGGTTGTAGCTTGTGCTACCAGTCCATGCCCCAATCCACTCCAGTCCTTTGCCAGAAGCCTGCCGGATCCAGTTCCACCAGTAACTGCTAGTGACAGAGCCACCAGTGATGGTGCAGGTCAGGCTGAGGGTCTCCCCAGGCTTCACCACTCCTGGGCCAGACTCCTGGAGCTGGGACTGGGACTGGATGCCTAGAAAAGCAGTGATCAGTCAGCATCAACTCTGCCAAACTCCTCAGTCCCTGCCACCCCCCACAGCCTCCCCAGGCACTCACCTGGAGACAGGGCCAGGACGAGCAGGGGACAGAGCAGCATCATCATGGTGCTTCAGGAGGGGAGTCCAGAGCTGGGAGGGAAGCTCAGCTCCTGGGCACAGTGGCCCTGAGTGCCCTGGGATGACTGCTTGAGCAGGGAACTGGGCTGGGATTTGCATAGAGGGGCTGCACTGAGGTCTGGCCTAGAACAGATGGGAGGGGCCCAGGCATGCATGTGCATGTACATGTGGTTCCCCTCTCTCCTCCTTCTTCACCCTCCTGGTGCTGGTACCCTAGCTGCTTCAGAGCAAACCCCACGGCCCTATTGTCAGCAGGTCCATCCTGAGGGAGGTGACACCTGGCCTAAGGGTCCCCACATCCTTAGCCCCTTCCCTCAGGTTGAATCCCAGTCCCTTCCACTGCTGCTCCATAGCTCAGAAACAGTGATGGGGATGAATGTGTGACAGACAGGGATTCAGGGGAAAGGCAGATGGACACCAGCTGTGCAGGCCCCAAATTTACAAGGACCAGATCTCTCCTCTACTCTGACCCCCACATGGTCAGGCAAAAGATTGACTTCAGTTCCCCATGTGGAGTTTCCAGAGCCTGGCAATGGTGGGTCAGTCCTGGCCCAGCATCTGCAGCAGGGACCTTTCCCAGGAGGGTCATTCCCTGGTGCCCTGAGCATCCCCCAGGGCCAGCAACTTCCCCACCATGATGCCCCTGAGCTGCCTCAGGGCGTTAAGCTCCTCTTTCTGTGACCTGGGAGCTTGCAGTGGGGATAGAGCTACATCTCTTAGGGGAGTGAGATGCTGGATGAGCAGGGAGAAGCTGGGCAGCCCAGGATGGAGCCTCAGCTCCAAAAGCCAAAGCTACCATGGAGCTGAGGATGGCATCCTAAGTAAAGGACAACAAGAAATTGTTTTTTAGATATATAGGGAGTAAAAGGAAGGCCCAGGGAGGAATAGGACCCCTGCTAAATGGGCAGAAACAATTGGTGACAGACAGGGGGGACAAGGCTGAACTCCTCAACGAGTTCTTTGCCTCAGTGTTCCTAAGCGAGGGGCGCGACAAGTCTCTCACTGGGGTTGTAGAGAGGCAGCACCAAGGCGCCAGACTTCCATGCGCAGACCCTGAGTTGGTGCAGAGTCACTTGGAAGAACTGGATGCCTTTAAGTCGGCAGGCCCGGATGAGCTCCATCCGAGGGTGCTGAAGGCACTGGCCGACATCATTGCAGAGCCACTGGCGGGAATATTTGAAAGCTCGTGGCGCACGGGCCAAGTCC